CCTATTTAGGAAATTAGCCCAGCCTCAATCTCTGGATGTTTCTGAACATTTTGAGCTATTCTTTATTAGAATCCATCAAGTTGGTAACTTACTATAGTAATTTGTATGGATATGGTCCAAAATGTTGGTGGGGTGTGAAGGTGGGGTTGTCCGGATACTTTTGCACTAGTACTGTACCTCGGTACTCCGTATTGCCAGCTGAATTACGGGGTACTGTCTACACAACAGCAAAGATGCAGGAGATACATCAATCCAGAAGAAGTTCTTGCATGAGCTCCTTAGACTATCTTGAACTCGTCTCAAGGGAGTTAAGAGTCTTGCCTTCGCCATAATGGCTCAGCTACCTGGTCTTCAATTTCCACAGAACATAATAGGGGGTGGCTGGCTCCATCCTTCCACAATCATCTGAGTGAGATGTTCTTACTCTTGACATCTGGTCAATTCATACCCTTGGTCTGTTCAGAACCATAAGTATACAGCCATGGCACCCAGTTTGCCCCCCGAATTGCTTGCCATAATATTATCCTTTTTCGGTTATGATGAGCGCAGTCGATATGTTACCGTTTCAAGACAATGGCAACTCCTAATTGAACGCCGCGCCTTTCACAAGATTCATCTGAAAAGCACAGATTTGCAGGCATTCTCGGACATTTTCGTTGGCCATCGCCGGGCCCTTCTAGCGGACCTGCGCTACGATGTAATTCTCCCAAGCTATGATGACCGCCAGCGTGCTAGGTTTGAGAGAACGAAGGACAAGCAGGCGAACAACGAGGTTCTGACAGAAGCTGTTCACGGGCTTTTCTCGGTATTGGCCTCCTGGGATGAAGCTAAGGACCACGAAATAGCGACTTGCGAACAGCGACGGCACATCTCGTTGAATCTGAGAGCTTATTCGTTGACGGACGTTGATGAGCGTAGACATGAGCATGTTTGGCCAGAAATACGCGACAGCTATGACTTTGAAGAATGCGCCCGCTTTAGGCTTCGATATAAACACTCGTTTCTGCAGGTTCTGAGAGTTGGCGAACTTCCGGAAGTGACCCAAATATCAGACTTCCAGTGCAATCGTTTGAGTTGGCCGCGACGGATAGAAGGGTCTTCTCTAGCAGGTGTTGTGGCGAAGTTACCCAACCTGGAGATTCTCGGCTGGACAATCAACGACAATGAGAAGAGATATCCGGTAGTACGCCAGCAGCATCGCTTTGGTATTCTAGCCTCCTGACTACCAACCTAGCTCACAATCTAAAGCTAACGGTGATTTCACAGATTTTGCACAGTCTCTACAGCATATCACCCTGCATCATCTCAGAAAGATCGAGCTGTGCCTCGACACCAGCAATCCACGCAATGATCACCTCAGCTTGCAGAGCGCGCTGCTGCCGTCTTCTCCATTGGTTGATCATCTAAGCTGTGCTCTGCACGTGCTGTCGCAGCTTCCTCGTCTCGAGGAATTCAGGCTTCTGGATGATACCGTCTTCTCGCCCTGCTTCTTCTGGCCGGACGCTGCACCATCCGACAATTTGCCCTTCTGGCCAAATCTACGACACCTGGAAGTATGGCTAAGCGACACCACTCCCGACGGCGAATGGCTCTACCTAGGTAAACCAAACGAGGCACATAACGACGAGTCGATCGGGGCCGACTTTCTTGCACAGCTGGCGTTCGAGGAAGACGAAGCCGCACACGCGAACGACTCCGAAGATTCTCAGGTTCCAGATGCCGTCCACGCGGGACTCGAGCACCAAATCGACGGCTATGAGCCCGAGCAACTCTTCCGCACGATGCTAGACCACCAGAGAATAAATCCCATGCTTATTGCAATGGCGCGTGCTGCGACATGCATGCCCAAACTGCAGCGGATGGCGCTATATACGGGTGGTGACAACTCGTATGGAATGGGGGTGACTTATCTGGCAGCTGGACAGGATATAAACTCATCCTGGGAAGGGGGAAAGGTGACAGAGTGGTCGCCTGAATGGGGAGGAGACCTGCTGAGGAAGCGATGGCATATACTCCTTTCGCCATGCACTGATTGGGAGGTGCCTTACGAGCTCGAATGCACCTGGAAAGAAATGGGGTCGTGGGATGATGAGGTTGTCATCCTGATTGATAAAGGATCGTACCGCGACACCACGCTTTAGACTGTCCAGACACTTCTCGGTAGGAGGCAGGTAGGTGACAGTGAGTGTTCAACCTGCATGTCATCACCCTGACGCCGCTGTGGCGGGAAGTCACAATTCTGGAAACCCGATCTACCAGAAGACCCGAACAGGCACGTTCGAGGCACTGCCCACACGGACTGAGGTGGAAGTCGATGGCAAAGCGCTGGGTACTGACGAGGAGGTAATATAGTTGTCCATGTGTGCTCTGTGGCGATGTATAATAGAGTCGGTGGCACTTTAGTCATTTTAGAGTAGAGAGTTCGTTCTCGCAATCTCTAACGATCAATCATCCAAGCAATACTCCGTAGAATCAAGTGACTGACCAAGTCCAGTGAGAGTCCAGTAAGCTACTCAGTCGAACGTTTACATATAATAGTCCATCCGGACTTGAAAATCTCATCCCACCGAAGAAGAGCTGAGAAATCAGTATTGTGGGTGCATGAACATCTTGTCCAGGTTGTTGACTCATGCAGAAACAGCTTCGATCAGCCACACGCAAAGAGACGACAAGTTCTGTCCAGACATCAGTCCGTAATGAGATAGCATTAGATATCTCTACCGTCTGCTTCTACACCGAGATTCACAACTTGCCTCTTCATTGACGAAACATGCAGTCCAGACCTTGACCCGGATATCTCAAGAAAACCTCCCCGGTACTCAATTCGACCTTAGTATTCCAACATGAGCCAAGAGAGCCCCCCCAGCGTCGCAAACCCCCAAGCTCTCCCCGAGCTGGTCAACGGCGTTTCAAGCATGAATCTCACTCCCCGGGCATCCTCAGCCACAGAAAGTTTCTACGCATAGCGAGG